CTCGGGCGACGGCGCCGCCACGCCCCCTGGCGCCTCACCAGCGGTCACATGGCAACGACTCCCGCGAGAGGAACCGGGAGAAAGCGGGAGGGCCGAACGGGAGAGCCATTGGCCAGTGAGGCGGAGAGCGCGAGTCCTCGGCCAATGGGCGTCGCCGCCCGCCCGGGGAAGGCGGTGCCTGCGCGTTCGCCTCGTTATCGCGAGATCGGAGCCCCAGGGTTGTCCCGCGCGACCCAAGTAGAGCGGGCGGGGGCGCAGGTGGAACTTCAACAGGGGAAGCGGCGGGGGCGGTCCTTTGAGGTTGCCGAGTTCCCGAGGCCTGTTTTCACGATGCTCCCCCCGGGTGCGGATGCGGCGCCTCCTCCGCCTCCTCCTACAAGGCCCAGAATCGCCAGGACCCCAGCGGGCGCCCCGGCGGGAGCCTGGGGTGGGCGGCCCTCCCCTGGCCAGGTAGACTCCCCCTGGCTGTGGAGGCTCCCCAGGAGGCCCTCCCAGGGCGGCGGCTTTGGAGACGCTGCCGGTGGTGCTCCTCTTACTGCGGTGGGGCCTCTGTAGCCAAGGCGCCCCCCCCCGAGCCAGGCCAGGAGCTGAGAGGGCCTGCGGGCGGGGCCAGGCGTGCAAAGGGTGCTTTTGCCACCCCCTTCCCGCTCCCTCCCTCCTTCTTCCCCCCCACCCCACCCCCGTGGGTTTCCTGGGTCGAGGAGCGGGGATTCGAACCCAGGACTCCGGGGGTCCCCCAGTCCGTGGCTCTGGTCCGCTGCCCCGCCCTGGCCGGCCCTCCTTCCACAGAGTTGGGGAGAGTTACCCCACCACCTCTTCGCCCGCACCCTCTCAGGGTACAGGAGGGACTACAACCGCATGCATCTTCCCCCAGCTGCTCTGCTGGCTTGGGATGTCCCAACACCCAGCTGGCAGGTGTCTCTGCACCAGCCCGCCTAGATTTGAGCCCCAGACCTCCTGCAGGTGAAGCAGGGTGGCTCCCCACCCCACCCTGTCATGCCCTGGTTTTGCTCTGCCCCCAACCTCCTGCAGGCCACCCCCAACAGCTCCCGGAGCACCAGGAAGCAAGCCCTTGGGAGTCTCCTGGATCTGCAGGGTGGCCCCGCTTGGTCGCTCTCTCAGTTCTGCCCATGACTCTTGCCTCTGTCCTAAGAAGCCTTCAACCTTCCTGAAAAGCTCTTGCATTTCAGCTTGCCCCTAAGTAATTCCTCAATTTATTCTTTTGGAGAAAATACAGTAGTCTTAAAGAAACCTCAAACACTTGCTTGGTATTAAGATTAATATATTTACTTTTCCTTGTTTGTGAAACAAGACATAAAGTTGTATATTTATATATATTTATATATATATATATATATAATTTTCATATATCTATATATAGCCTTTATTGTTATGTATACTATATACAATTTTTTTTTTAAAAAAAGGCTCCTCCATGTTCCTCAGAGGGGGGCTTACAGGGAGGTGGCCACAGGAAAGGAAGAACCCCCCCCCGCCACCGCCCACGAGCTCCTTGGCAGCAATGGATCAGGAAGGAACCTCTCTAACCCCATGGGGTTTGGGGTAAGAGACTTCTCCTATGTGGACACCAGACTGGCTCTTAGGGCCACCATGGGCCTAACAGCATGTTGTACCCACGGGAGGAGGTGTATTTAAAAGCACAGTGTGCATCTCTGGTATTAGTCTTTTGGTGATATTGGGGGGGGGGGGCTGAGGCAGGAAGTGATGCAAGGGCACCCTATGGTTTTTTTAAAAATTCAAACCCAAACAGAAAACTAATCCACTGTGAGGGGAGATGTAGTTGATTCTTGATCTTCCACAGTATGCAGGGGTGCTCCTTAAGCAACTGCGTGCCTCCACCTGCCTGCCTGCCTGAGGGACAGCTTTGTGGGGCTCCGTGCAGGCGCTCCAGAGAGAAACTCCAGGATCCTTCCTTGCGATATGGGCGCACTCTGCTGGTATGCTCACAGTGGCCTGGAGGCAGCAGTGGTTCAAGGCCGTCAGCGAGCACGAGGAATCCACTCCCCCTCCCAGCCCTGTTTTGGGGAGCAGGGCATGCTGCACGCCAAGTGCTCTACCTGGTTACCTTTGGTGGGTCAAGAAATGAAAGGCAGGCCTTTGAGGCACCACGGTCTCGATACATTCAGTCAGGAAAGGAATCCGGGACTCAAGGACATTTCTCTCTAGATCCACAGGCAGCCCAGTGGAAGAAGTAGTACACCGTTTGCAAGAACATGCTTCTTCTCCCTGGCACAAGGTAGCAGTGCAAACATGGGTGCTGGCACCACATCCTGCCCAATGGGCCCAAACCAGCTGTGACACTTCAGATTGAGTCGCTGAGGCCTCCCTGCCTCACAGATGGACTCCTGCCGTTGCACTGAGCTACCACTGGAGGGGACATTTATGCCTGGAATGGTGTTGAAGCTGCAAGCCTTGGAAATGCTTAGGAGATGGTAGCCCTGAATCCAACCTGCTGTGCTTTCTGGGGCGTGGGCTTTGTTACTCAGCTAAGAGGGACAGGCCTTTGACTTGCTCAGACACTGAACCGGACCCTTTGGAGAGGCCAATTCTCCACCCCAACACTCCCTCTTTTCCTTCAGCTGTGTCCAACTGGCTTGGAACTAGAAATCTGGCCATCATGTGGCTGCAGGATTTGGCCTGCTCATGGCCACATCTGTTGGTTATACTTGGGTGATTTCAGACACCCCTCTAGACAGAGCACAAGCCAGAGCCTCATGTCTTGCGTTATGCATCCAGACATGTCTAGTAGAATCACCACAAAGCCAGAATCGCTGCCTTCATCAGAGAAGGCAAGACTGAGCTTGTGTGGTGAGGGGTTCCCCCCCCATCCTTGATGGGCAGCGGGCAGGGCTGGATGCCAACAGCTGACCCGACAGACTTGGTCCCAGCTACAAACCATGTTGCATACAGAAGCTCAGGCGCACGGTGCCTTGGCCACCTTACTTAGTCATCAGCGTCTTCAAGGAGCGTGTGAGCGTGCTCATGACAGAGGCCACCGACGGGCGGCCCAGCGGCTCAACCGCTTGCTCCCCTCTGTGACCGGCTGTTCTGGCTGTGGACTCCTCAGCTGCCCGCAGCAGAAAAGTGTAGTTCCTCACCACCTCTTCCACTTTGGCGAGCAGCGCCTGGCGCTGAGACTCTGACCGCACCACGTACACCAGCCTCACAAACGTCTCGATCAAGTTGCCCAGCACGTGGAAGCTGCTTGTGATGGCCGAGAGCATGCGGGTGGGGCTCTTGTCCACCGCAGCGACTCTGCGGCAGGAGGCTCGGAACTCCTTAAACCGGAGGGCCAGCTCCTGCTTGTATTCGATGAGCTGTGGGAGGTAAGGTTTGCCCTCCTGCACCTCGGGGTTGACGACACACTGCCGCAGGACTGTCAGGAGCTCGCTGGTGTCCAGCTGCACGGCCAAGAAGCCGTCCGGCATGGCATAGGCGCGGCCTTTCAGGGCGTGGATCTTGGCCAAGCTGCCCTCGAAGGTGGAGGTCCGCAGGTCTATCTCCTGGGTCTGGTTGTTGTCCGGGCTGCTGCAGGCCGTGGCGTCCAGGACCTGGAGCGTCCGGCTGACAACAGGGATGGCCTGGCTGTCCAGCTTCATGCCGGGCAGGATCTGCATGGGGATGGAGTACGAGAGCTCGTCCTTCTCGCTGCCGTCGTCCACCATGTCGCACTTGCGGTAGTAGAAGCAGTACCGGATAGAACAGCACTGCTCGCCTTCCTCCTCCTCCTCCTCTTCCTCCTTCTCTGGCAGCTCAGCGTGGCTTGGGTACACGTCCTCTTGGACAGGGAAGGTGCTGCTGCGGTCCTTCTGGCTGTGTCTCTCCTGCGTTGCCACTTGGACGTAGGAGGGTTCTGCCCCCCAGGCGGCCGAGGCCTCATGGGGCGGAGGTGCCTGAAGAGGGGCTTTGCTCTCCTGCTGTAAGGAGGCGGGCTGGGCAGGAGAGGGGCTCCGGTAGACGTCAGGGGCCAGAGGTGGTGGCTCCCCCTTGTCGACTTCCCCGACACTGTAGCGCCGCATCAGCTTCCGGTAGTGCGGCGCCCCCAGGCACTCCCCTCGTGAAGCGCAGGTGGCCAGGCACGAGGAGCCCCGGTCGGGCTCCGAGCGGCAGTCCCTGGACTCCAAGCTCGTGGACCGGACCCGGCGGCCTCTGGCAGGGCTCTTGGCGCCGGCACCGCTGAGGGCCTCCCCCCCTGGCGGCTTGGGGGTCTTCTCCCTCCCTCGCCGCTGGGCTTCGGGTGAGGCCCTTGGCGGCCGG